CTTGTAAGTATTAAGACTGCAATAGCAGTCTTTCTTGTATAGATTTACATTTCAGGTTCATATGGATTTAATCTGATATCATCTGTCTGCATCATATGAAAAATGAAGTAGAATAATAATCTTTGAAAAAACAGCATAGGTTAGCATAGAAGACAGTTTTGTAGTTTTCCAGTTTGTTTGTCATTTAAAATTCAGCTTCTAGAATTTTTTTAATTCTCGCTGGATGTGCAAGTCTTTAGCATTGAGGTCACACGGCATTTAGGTGATGGACAGCTCTTGAGCTCACAGTTATAGCAGTTACTTGCCGAGGAGAAGAACCAGGTGACATGTGCTGGGGTTTCATTTAGAGCAGCTCCAAAAGGTGGCCAGGTGATGAATCTAAGGACTGCTAAGCCATTAAGATATTGCTTTTCTAAATTAAGCTCACATACCATTTAAAACATTCTGAATGTCTTCAGAACTGGGGATTTCTTAATAGCTTGCTGTGGACAAACATTAGCTCTGTTTATCTGGAGACATGAAAAATAATGTATGTATTAGCTGCAGAGAAAGGCTTCTTCGTGCACCATGCTCCACAGCGCTAGCTGTTGAATATTTTATATATTAATACATATTTATAGTCTGGAGTTTGGCCAGTGACTGTAAAGTCAGGCAGATTTAATGCCTAAAATAGTTCATAGCCTCAGAGAAAAGTGTCAGTATAAAAATCGTCATTTTGTCTTAGTTCCTTCCATACAAGCCCAGTATCTTTTTTTTAATGTGAAATTAAACCTGAGATAAAATAAGAAAATTAATCACAAGCTGTTTGACCATATACCCATTCTATTCAAAGTTCACGTGCTAGTAACACACAACAGAGTTGCACTCATCTGGATGTATTGAAATATAATTCGCAACATTTCTCTGCTACTCCATAGACACATATAGCAGGATGTAACTGAGATTATCACACTGAATATTCACCATAGCATATCCTTCAGTGGCAACTTTTAGCTTAAAAGCCATCATAGTCAGATGTAGTTTAACTCCCAGTGCTCATGGCTTATTAAAGTTTTTGAGATAGTGCTTCTTTAGCCAAGTGAACTAAAGTATATGCTTCTACTGGGATAGTATGGAATGATTTAGGACTCTCTCCTTCAAGCCGGAGTTTGAAAATGTTAAAATATCTGATGTCAGTGCAATAGCAAGACTATTCTGCTATAGTATGAGTGCTCAATTGCCTGCACCCTCTTTCATCTCACTCCGACCACCGGCCAGGGAACTGCAGCTGGCTGGTTACCAGCCTCGCAGTTGCAAGCGTGCCTCTGCTCCACCTGGAGACAAGAAGGAACGCTGTTAGGGTTATCCTTCTGCACTCCTGATAGCCAGTTATGGCACAGCACATTGCAATGCTGAAGGAAAGTCTGCTCCCCAAAGCACAGAAGGACAGAATAATTGCTGCCAAGGTGTAGAAATCTGATTATATGAAAGGGGAAGAGGATGAAAACTATGCCGCTTGTGAATCTTACCTGCACTGGTCTCACACGACACATCTTGAAATGGTTTAAAACTCAGTTTCCACTGTAATAAGTTATTTGGGTCAGTTTAAACTCAGGATACCCTGGGGACAGTTATGACTCTTGATGGAAATTGTGTTATGAATAATGGGGCTATTTGACTATAAGTAGAAAACATGTTCCCTGTTAAATCACTCTGTCACCCCAGGCAAGACTATTATTCTCCCAGCTCTTTCCTGTGACCTTCTCCCTTCCCCTTTGTCCCTTTGTGCCAAGGGCTGCTCCGTCTTTGCACTCCTGCATTTAATAGCTCCCCTGATGGCTACAAGTTGCATTGCAGGAAGTCAAAATTAGTTTTCACAGTTCTGCCTTTTTTCCTTTGGGACTTAGGCTTTAACTAAGTCTAGAGGGGCCAGGCAGAGACTGAATTTCTTTTTTGACAAAATCACCGCCACCCAAAAGACTAAGGGAAAAAGACAGTCTAAGAAACAGCAACCCCCTGTGTAACACCAGTTCTCTCACGTAGTCCCACTATAGTTTAGAATTAGTTTGGAAGTACTCCACCATGTGCTATCTATGCCCCCAGAAGGAACATATGCCAATAGATGACAGTGTGTTTAGATGACAGTGTGTTTATTTATCCTTTTCCTGCGTGGCTCATGTAGGCTCAAGGTCAACGTGGAAGAAGATATGGAAATTCCTGGGAATCTCTAATGCTCAGTGGGGGTAAATAAACAGAGGATTTATTGTTTGCTCTTGTATTGCATGACTGGCACAAGCAGAGGGATGAAGTAGACTCTTCTAAGACTATTAACTAAAGCTTCTTGAAAGCTTAGAAATTACAAAAAGCTCCGTTCTCAACCCCTCTCTTCCTTTCCACCGCCCACCACGTGAGGCCTTTTGGGCACAATCTTTGGCCAACCCATACTGACTAGCCCAATAACATTGATAGAATCAACTTTTATTAGTATAAAATTATTTAAAACTGTTTTAACAAGTACTGTGACCAACTTAGTAATACAATTATTAATGTAAGGACTTAGAGTGGTTAATATTCTTAATTATGATATTGAGAGCCCAAGAAGGCAAGTTTGCCTTTCCCAAGGTACAAAGAGCAAGAGAGCTCCATCTCACATGTGTAAGTTAATGCCACATAAGAAAATGTTTCATGGCAATAAACTTGGGTTAGAACTCGTAACTTTTATAAAGTGCAGAAAAGAATTGCAAAATAATGTGAGATATGCCACAATACAGTAGTTAGGATACAGTAGTCTTATTCCTCTGTGTCTTTCAGTCTTAAGCCTACCATTTTAAAGATGATATTAATTATTCCCTTATGACTGCAGAATGAAAAACCTTTACAGAGTTCCTCCTGTGCATCACTTGCAAGGCTGAGGTTAGCTACATTAGTTGTGGATTATTCGTGTGAGATTATATCAAGATCAGCTCTGGCTGGATGTGGAAGGGCACATTCAGATATCGAAAGCGTTCCTCACAGGGACAGTCAAGCTCCTCAGACCCGTTACTACACTGCATTCAGAATCCACTTTTCTGTAAAAAGAACTACATCTAGGAAAAAATATTGTCATGAAAATATTTCATCTGGAAACTACATAAGTACAAGTGATAGGATAAACTCTTCTCATTTTTGGAAGCGTATTAAGTCACATTAATTTTTGAAAGACACAATTTTTCTGCATAACCATACTGCATAAAAGAGCATAAGCATTTACTTTTCATATTTCTGGATTAAGAACAAGAAAAGACAAAAAAAGACTGTCAACTCAGCACAGAGTTTTAGCTATGACTGTTTCCATGCTTTCAATCAAACATTTATTTTACAAATACCAGCATGGCTCCATACATCATGAAGACATTTACTGCCAAGTGTTTCCCTTTTCTTACGTACTTGGGAGAAAATTTATTTCTTCATGTCAGCAAAAGGAAATAGTTGAAAAATTGAAATGCTGTCAACTATGTCCTCAAAGTAATATACGTATACATAGGTAAAAAAAGTTTCTAATCTCAACTTTTTTGTGTTATTACTACTAATATTATAATAGTATTAGAATTCCAGTGTATGATGTGTCAGCAGTGGAAAATAAACTGTCCACCCCCAAAAAATTTACAAAACATAGGATAAGAGTTAACTCTGAGCATTTTCTTGTCCCAATGTGTAAACTGTCTACTAGACCACAGTTTAGGCTTTACGTTTTTACACTCTTTTAGTAAAACTCTAAAATTAGAGTTTTATTTTTTTTACTGTTAACAGTGATATTTCAATAAGAAACCATCTACTGCAGGTGGGACTCATTACACCTAGCTCCAGCCTCCGAGAAGTTAGGTGTTCAGCATAAGCAAGTGATCTCAAATACTTTTGTAGTCTGTGTGACAGGAACACCCTTCTGCAAGATGATTGCTCCCATCCTTAGATAGATGCCTGAGAGGAAAATGAGGAATAGTTCTGGATGCACCTCTGTCCCAGTGGCTGGAACCTTTTTCCTAATCTTAAACATTTTTCCACAGTCTCATTATAAGACAGGTTGACTACAGACAGAATCTGTATGAAGGACTCTTAGAAAAATAAACTGAGCTGTCTAACTCTTAGATAGATAAAATTAGATAAAATGAATATAATAGCGGTCCAACTCTGAAACTTTTATAGAAATACTCCCATTGATTTCAATTTATGTTTACTTCTAAGAGTGCTATAATTCTACTGTCAAAATTTCAAATTGTTTCCAATACCCTGTAATAAAAATGGAAAGGAATAATGAAAAAATGAAATTAGTCTATAACATGGGTCTGATATTTTATTTTTTAGAGCTATATAAATCAAAAGGTTCTAATACTTACGCAAGTAACTACATCTGTAAGGGAATTACACAATGAAATAAATGTGTCCTATTTTGAGAAGGATAACATGACACGCAGATTTTTCTCGTTAGGATTTCAGTAATGGTGATTCAGAAATGGACATGTACAAATAATCAGCAGGAGTCTGATTACCAGCAGTTGGATGACTCAGGTTCTCTACAGACTTTGTCCTAAATAGGTAGTTCTCGTTTTCTGAAGTTTACCGCACACATGACAGGGATATTTTCCCTTTGCAACTGAAAACTCTTGTCTTGATGTAAGCATTTATACTGAAGCTCATTGCAGCATCAACTCAAAATCTAAAATTGCACATAAGCCTAGATCTGAAGTATGACACTTGGACTGTGTGCTGACCACGTGCCCAGATAAAACAAAACTGAATACATTTATCGTATCCATGAGAGTATCATACATTATTCCTAATAATAATAATAATCGTTGCGTCATTTTAAAAAATGGGAAAGCAGCTGTTGCTACAGCATTATCCTTATGCTTCATTGTAGAGGCATTACTTTGTAGAATTCACATTTCCTGAAAACGTCTTTCAGGTCAAGAGTCCTCCACTTGTGTTATTTCTGTTACTGTGCTGATAGTTTCAAAGCATTTTTCCCCTTCTTGTTTCCATAGGAAATGATCTGTTTCTAGTTGCAGTGCATGAACTGGGACATGCTCTGGGCTTGGAGCACTCTAACGATCCCACTGCAATCATGGCTCCATTTTACCAGTATATGGAAACTGACAACTTCAAACTACCTAACGATGATTTACAGGGCATCCAGAAGATATACGGTATGTCATATTTTAACTAAATGATTTCAGGTTCTCATTTTAGAATGCATTTGAGAACTTCTCTCCACTCCACCTCGCCAAGAAGTTTGTTAATGTAGGCTTTGTCAGTCACAATCCCAAAGGCCTTCTTGTGAGAAGGCCGAAGATTGTGATGAAGCTGTTTTACTTTGTTCCTCGATGTTCACAGCTTTCGTTTAAATTTGTACTCAGCTGGCATGGCAATCTTAAATATTTTAAAAGGCTGTAAAGGAAATATCTGCAAAGGGATCCCAAACTATTAAAATATTAACAAATGCAGGTCTTAACCGTAATGACCTTATTTCCACAGTACTCCAAGCTTATATTACTGGATGAATTGATTGCTTTTCAGTTTATCAGTTATAATACCAAACAGTTCCCCCGGGTGGAGGAATTTTGTGGTCCTAGAACACCCTCTCTTACGATAAATATAACAAATTGATCTCAAAAGAAGGTTATTGCCAGCCTAAAATTTTGTGCTACATAGAGGAAAAGGGTCCCACTTCTTTAAAATACTGTTCTTTCGTTTGTGTGGCCTGAAATAAAAGATGCATCTGGTGTATATAAATTCTGAATCTGTTGAATTCAATTTGAAAAAGCAAGGTAGTTGGAAATTCAAAAAACAAAACAATAACATTATTCTGATTACAGGCTGCATGTAATACTAACTCCTATATTACTGTTCCTTACATTTCCAAAGACTTTGTTCTTCATTTTTCTGTTAAATGGTCTGAATTTTTTAATAATTTTTTTCTTCAGTGAAAAGTCTTTGCTTTTCATATGTTAACGCCATGTATCCAGCACATATCATTTTGAAATGCTGTGGTTAATGTTCCCAATTAATTTTGCATTTGTGTTGTTTAATATTCTTTTTTTTTTTTTTTTCAGTTTAGAAGCTTAAGTGGTTCTCTCAGTGTTAAATTGAATATTACCAGGGCCATTCCTTGCTTATCTTTACTGCTATAAAAGACACCTATATTGGTATACAATTACTGTATCACTGATTAAAACTCTGCAACTTCCATGGAATGTTTTATATTAGCAAGCTTTTTAAAATATAATATTAACAAGTATTGATATACTCAGTTATTGTCATTAAGCTTGAAAAGCTTTCAAAATGATCGGCTACTCAAATTTTATTTGGTTGATTTCTTTTGCTATATGATTAGCTGGACAGGAAGGTTTTTTCTTATGACCTCATAAGCTGGTAGTCTAGACTTAAGGGCTAGACAAGAATACGTTGCCCATACACTAACCACTAAGCTCTAACAGCTGTGAGCTATACGTTAGAAGAAATGTGTTACCCCTGGGAAGTGATATCTGACATCATCACCAAATGGCATATGAAAACTGTGGTCTGGATTTAAACTCTTTCCAACATGAGCTACTGCAAACTAATTCCTCTGCTCCTCTCTTAAATTCCAGAGGTCATCTAGAATCGTATGCCTCAATAAAAATGTCATACCTATTAAAATAATTACTTTGGTCTGCAGTATTCCTCAAAACACCATGATTAACTCTAAATTATAAATGTCACAAGCCTTAAAATTATGAATGAAATAAATGCCTTCTTTAATTGTATGATAACCATTTGGGGAGCTTAACATTTCCTTAAAAGAAAGAATGTTTACTGATCAACCATTTAAAAGGGTACTTATTTGGAACAAGTGTCAGAAATTCAAATGCCATTTTTTCAGTTTTAGAGTTATCTAAATATCCAAAATTCTTTCTGAAGCTTGTCATGAAAATAATGCTTATTTTTCTATGTCAAAATTGATTGTGCATCTAAAGGATTTGGAGAGACAGTTAAAGAGTGAGAAGATTAAAATGTTCATCTTGCTTCCAGAAATACGACTGATCCAACCTAAACTTTCTATTGTTTTGTACATGGAAAATGTGACTAGATGTACTAATATGTCTGGAAAAGGAAAGGCATTTTCAGTACATGCATTGTAAGGCATTCAGTATGTCATTAGGGTTCTGAACAACATCTGTCTAGAATGGTCATATTACTTTCAGACAGAGAAATTATGAGCGTGATAGTTCACCTGTCATCAAACCATATATATTATAAAATGTACTTTATAGAAGAAAAAACATTTTAAAACTTCTTTGCAGAGCTTTAGTTTTTAGTTTTGAGTAGCCTTTTTCAATTCATTTACCTTCGAATCAATTATTTTAATTTCTAGGTACCTGGCTTTGTAAAACTCGTAGGAAAATAAAAATTACAAATAAAACAAAAGTAATTAGTTTCAGAATATTCAAGAGAAGATATCAGTTTTTCAAACTTTACAAGGGACAGTGTAGAAATCCAGAAACATATCCTTCCCTATAATAAAGAACTTATATTTCTACTCCGTCCACAAGAAACCAGAAAATAAGCGTGTCGCTAACGGACAAGAAGATATTACTTGGCCTATAAATTAGATCAGCAGTTTTTTTGTGTGCAGCATATATGCAGGCTCGATTTGAAAGATGGAAGTTAAAACAGTGGTTTGCAAGTCCATTGACTTGCAATGATGGTCCTATTAGGTACAGTATTTTTTTTCCTACATCTTATGCAATGGACAATGACTTTTTTCTTACCTAGGCAGACCTTTTGCAGTTGGTGAAGTACATGCTAAGAATTAGTTCTCATCTTAAATGTTGGAGGGCTTTGCATCCTGAACCTTGTTCCAATAAAGAAGGAAGACTCTGGATAGTGTAAAGTTAATTTTCTTCATTTGTGCCTTGGTTCTGTGGTACCCACTCATCATTATACCCTTGAACAACGTGGGAAAGGCACATTAGGTCACTTTTTCCTTCTGCTGTAGGATTTATACTGCTTACAGCAGGTTTTTGTTGTATATTTCTTTCTGGAATGCTGTTCACAGGCATACAAATTACATCCTGCTGCTATTTTTGAAGGTCCACCTGACAAGATCCCACCACCAACAAGACCTCTGCCAACAGTGCCCCCACATCGTTCAATCCCTCCAGTGGACCCGCGGAAGAATGACAGGCAGCCTAAACCTCCTCGGCCACCCACTGGTGACAAACCTTCCTATCCTGGAGCCAAACCTAACATCTGTGATGGGAACTTCAACACTCTAGCTATTCTTCGCCGGGAAATGTTTGTTTTCAAGGTAGGAGGCTGTGAATTTTTCAGTGTTACATCAAGTGTCTACATTTCTATTTTTTTAAAAAAAAAAAAGCAAAAACTCTCATTGATCATGACTCCACTTTCCCAGCCTTCTCATAGTTAGAAAGTTTAAGAGACAAATTAAAAAATAAACATACACATGGCTTAAACGTCTAGCATAGGATTGCTGTAATGTTCTATTTTGGGAAAATACTAATGTCAGCAGAAACTGTAATGCCTCAAAACGTAAGGGAAAGTAAATTCTGCATGTTATGGAAAGTTAAAAAAGCATAAATTTACTCATGAATAGGAGCTAATAGGGATGATTTTGTTCAGCATACAGCCACATCCAGACGTAGTATAGATATTGTGTCTTCAACACACTCTTTTTTGGATGGAGCTGTAATTTTAACTTTACAATTAGATCCTTTGTTTACAACGGAGGTTTGTCATTGTGTAGTGCTTGCATTGAAAGCACAGCATCTGAGGAAAGGTCTTTGCCATAAGAACCTTACTGCTAAAGTATCATTGTTTATTTTCATTCATCTTCTTTCTCTAAGCTGATAAAGGTAGTAGGTGTAACAAACTGAACTAAATAAACTGAACCAAAAGGCAGTCTTCTTTTGATAGAAGGACTTTGCTAAGGCTCATAGACATCAAAGCCATTTTAGGAGAATGATCTATAATATCATTTCCAGAAGGTATCGAATGGTAAAAAATAATTACGGAAACATTAGTATTCACTCTCTTATGTCTTAAACCAGTTTCCTGACAGGGATGTGCAGCAATAAGCAGGATACTATGTTGTCTTGAACTCTGTATTGGTGTGTTAAGTTTGGTTAAGCAATAGGAAGTGTGAGACCTTTGTTTTGTAAATATACATCATGACTCTTTTTAACTTCAGTGTTATACCTAGAAAAGAATGGCTTTTTTTTGTCCTTTCTTTACACATACTGATAGGACCCATTTGTCCCTTATATTTCTTTTTTATGTAATCTTTCTTTCCAGGTACGAGCTCTGTGAGCTCATATAGCCCCGTGCCAAGCTGCACGAGCCCATCTAGGCTTGGGCAGTACTTTAACAGTACTATCCAGGCTCTTTAGCCTACATGTAAGAAATATTTAGAAATAGTTGTGCATGAATTCATTCAAAATTATTGAGCTTCCTTAACCTAATGGGCAGGAAGTATTTTTCCCATAAATGGGTAAGGATGTTTTCAGACCTCTTCATTGGAATAGATGGTATATTTTCAAACAGTGGGAGGTCCTGAACCATCAGTCTTCTTGCGACTAAAACTCAAAGGTTAAGGAAGAATCTAATTTTCTATCTTGACATTAAACAGGATATTAAAATACCTAATTCAGTCTCACGTCATGCACTTCAAGAGCAATAGAACATATTCTCATTTATTTTAGACATAAATCAATAAATAGTGAAATGCTATCCCACTAATACAAGATTTCCTGTCTAGCCAAGTTTATTTGCCTAAATAAATAGATTCACCATCATTACTAACCACTTTTACCTGTTCTGATGGAAAATAAAAATTATATTTGCTCCAAAAGTGTTAACTGCTTACTGCCTTAGCACTTAGCTGTATTACAATATAGCTTTTACATCTAATCGTGTGCAAACTGCATTTATGTTTCAAAACTAAAATTCCATTTGTGCTCCACATCCCAGTGAGTATGGTGAAACTTTAGCAGAGAAAAACAACCAATAACAGCAAGTTTTCAGATTTCAGATTTGATCTGACTCTCCAAAATGCAGTCACTGCAACTATAAAAGCAAGGTGCTGAGGAAGGAAAGAAAGCAATGATATTTTTTTGGATGACTTACCTTAAGGGTCTTATAGTCCCCCTCATCTCCTCAGGGATACCCTGGAGCAAGACATGACTTGGGTTAGCATGGTAAGCAATAAGGTTTACCTAAGGAATAGAGACTCTGTAGCCTTAACTTCTTGGTTTAGGGGTTAACTTGCTAATACAAATTTTCTTATGCTAAAGAAATTTCATTAGCTGGTAATTTTTTTTCTTTTTGGTTGAGGGGCGGGGAGCGTGGATGGAGCAGGAAAGTGAAGAAGGAATTAACAAAAGTTAGGGCTTGCTGGTATTTTTCTTCCTTCCTTTGCAGAATGTCAGGAAGAGCTCAGCATGTTGAACTGTAGCAGGAGCAGTGCGGGTACCAACAAGAATAGGGGCCAAAGTTAGGGAAAGCATCCAGCAGCGGAGGGAGCGAAGCTGGAGCTCCTATGGTCTGAGGTAACAAAAAACAACCTCCTTGCCCTTATCCCTTAAGGCGGGAACAAGAAAAGATTGGGAAGGAGTGAGCAACGGGCTGGGAGCCAGGTATAGCAAGGTAGCGAAGGAGAGAGGATTGATAGCAGTCCTGTACCAGGTGGAAACAATTAAGGAAGAATTATGACCTTAATTGGAAGAATTATTGCTGGATAGTTCCCAGATGAGTCAAATTAATAAAGTTGGAGGCTAATCAAATGATATCCTTTGCTTTCTGTCTCTTTATCCATAGCCTGTAGTGATTGTGTTGTGGCAGGTTTTACTGCTTTCTGAAAAGTATGTGTGCTAAATACCAATTTCAACTTGAAAATAGCCAGTTCTTTGTCTCATGGACTAGTCTCACGCTCAGGTGCTCAGTTTGTTTAACTAATCCTTGAAGTTGTTGGCAGTTTAGCCATGGAGTTGAAGAATGTGAGTCCTTTTGAACAATTAAGTTCTAATTTAAGCATAAAAATGAGGCACAGGAGGTAACAGTTTGAGATATACACTGTGTATTTTCATAGTAGATGACAAACAATACTAATTTCAAGAAGACTGCTTTCTCTTTGCTGTTGAGCTATTAGGGTGTACTTAAGTGTACCAGAATTTTCAGAGGCAATTACTGCTTTGAATCAAATTGATCAGCTCTGTTTGTGCTTTTAAGAATACTTAGCTCTTTTAAATGGATATTTCTAGGGTGAAACTGAAAAACAGTAGGCTTGGAGGGAAAATTTAATTTGCACGTATCCATCTCTTTTTATTGTTTTGCCGTCACTTTGACAAAGTAACAACTTGATAGTAGTAAAGCTTGATAAAATTTGTATGATTCAAACAAATGAAATAAAAAGAAACTGCCCTTAAATTAGATGCCCTTAAAATGCCACTGCTAGCTATAATGCTTGGGGGCACAGTATGCTATAGAACAAAAATATTAGTTAAAATCAGTCTGTCATAAATATTGGCTTCAGTTGTCATCAACAGGTATTTCAAAATGTAGGAAGGTTATCTTAATTGAATGTAGTTTTTTAATTGCTGTTATTATTTAAAATATGCTTGAATTGGTACAAGCAACCATCAGGACAGCAGAATTTATATGCCAAAATTCATGAGTGCCAAGTTTTTATCTTGAGATTCCAGTTAGCTTCGGTATTTATGCTGAGTGCAATTAGTATTTAGCTGTCACTCTCATTTCCAGTCCTTTCTTCAGCTATTTTTTCCTCTCTGTTTAGTTAGAATTCCCCTGAGACATAGAAAATGGCTGAAAAACGGTGAAAAACAGATTGGTGTTCCTTCTCTGGGAGAGCTGTGCAAAGTGGTATGACACTTTCTGTCTACCTTTAATGGGAAAACCTCTCAGACATTGTACAGAGCCATCTCAGTGCTATCTGACACTTCTGTCTTCTCCTTACACTTTCCTGAAAGAATCCTGTTTGAGAGACTGCCTCATCCTTCATGAAAAGGAAGTGACCCGTAGTCTAAGGTCACCAGAAAAGATCCATCAGTGAAGATGTTTGCACCATGTATTTCCATCTTCTGCCGTTGCTCTGTGCCAATCATGCTGCTTTTTCTGTCTTCTGTAGCAAAAAGGAGAATTTTGAAGATAATCTGGGCTGTCTTATGAATAAGAGTACTTAGGTTAACGCCTTATGAATCTAGTACATAGTTAAAAAACGGTTCATGGGGGGCAGATCTTGAAGTGGTTGCACAAAATTGGTTCTCTCTTAGAGGATGCAGTGTCTCGCTTGTTGCTTATTCTGTTACTTTGAGGAGTCGTCTAGCTTGTTTTTGACTCTGCATGATGATTGTTCCTTGGCAACAATATTACCTCTACCTGTGTCTCAGCAATCTGTGTTACTGTTGTTAATATCCTATTCATTTATGCCCCTTTCCAGTTTCACATATTGCATGTAATAAAATCCCTAGTTTTTGGGACAGATTACTTCTAGAAGAGTACCCTACAGGCGTGGAATTTCTCCTGCATAATCAGCAAGTTAGAGGGACAGGTCACTTCTCTTTGATTATGGGACATCATTTTTTGCTTCACTGAAGAACATCTTGGTAGAGATTGCATTGATCCTTTTTACTTTCTTTTAATGCTAAATCTTTAACAAACCAACAAGTTTCTCCTGTGTAATCCCTACCAGTTTTAGTATTCCTGTTAGAAAAGTTACCTGGTTCCTTGAAAAATAGCAGCATTTTTAGCCACTGTTATGTACTAGGTTGTTTGCTGTAGTGTAATGTAAATATAAATTTATTTAGTGAAAGAAGCCTGTCCATCAGAGAAATAGCATTTACAGCCTAAGACAAATCTCTTCTGAAATGTTAACATTACAGATGGTAGAACAGGGAACCAATTTTAGGAAGGTCTTAACAGGCTGTGTTTTACTATTTTATAGCAATTTTTCCACAACTTGCAGAAATTTGTTTTCTGACTCTTCATCTGCTAAGAACCATTGTAAAAACATTTATGAAGTGCCAAACAAGGCAAGCCAATTAAGCTGTCATTACCCCTTGGCATTAGTTTAGATTGCAGTTGCTTTCGTACCTAACTGTATAGGTGCCATTTAAAATCTCTTTCAGAACTGTGTATTCGTATAGAGTACACTATTAAACACAAATGAAGTATAAAATATCCTTCTTTTAACATGTGGTAAAGAAGTGAATAGTTTTCAAGACATTATAGCATTAGCTATTTAACAGTAATTAGTAGCCCCAATAAAAAACTCTT